GCCATTCTTTACTTTCTGCTTAAACTAAAACTTAGCCCAACTGGCTTTCTAATATTCAAGTAGAAAAAGCAGAGGTTTTAGAATGGGATCAACCTACATTTGAATCTTTGCTTTGCCACTTACAAGTTACCTGGCCAAATTAAATGAGCTTCCATTTCCTTCTGTGTAAATTAAAAACACTACCAAGGTTATTAAAAAAACTAAAGCATGAGGTACAATGTCTGGCATATAATGGGCACTCAGTAGAAAGCTCCTAATTTTTTACCTAGAGGTTGAATTCAATGGCCAATTCAAATAAGATACAAATTACTTTAAAGCAACTGATGAATATAGCCTTAGTAGAGTCTAAAGTATCTTGGCTGGGTGCAGTGGCTCACGCCTGTAATCCCAACACTTTGGGAGTGTAGAAGTGGGAGGATGGCTTGAGGCCCAGAGTTCAGACCTGGCGCAGTGGCTCATGCCTGTAATCCCCAGCACTTTGGGAGGCTGAAGCAGGAGGATCACTTGAGGTCAGGAGTTCGAGATAAGCCTGGCCAACATGGTGAAACCCCGTCTCTACTACAATCCCTTGAATCCCGGAGGCCGAGGTTGCAGCGAGCCAAGATCACACTACTGCATTCCAGCCTGGGTGACAGAGCAAGACTCTGTTTCAAAAAAAAAAAAAAAAGCATTCAGGCCAGGTGCAGTGGCTCATGCCTGTAATCCCAGCACCTGGTGGGACGATCACCTGAGGTCAGGAATTCAAAGACCAGACGGCCAACATGGTAAAACCCTGTCTCCACAAAAATATTTGCCGGGCGTGGTGGAACATGTCTATAATCCCAGCTACTTGGGAGGCTGAGGCAGAAGATCATTTAAACCCAGGAGGCCGAGGCTGCAGTGAGCCGATATTGTGCCACTGCACTCCAGCCCGGGGAACAAAGTGAGACTCAGTCTCAAGAAAAAAAAAAAGAGTTCAACCAGCCTGAGCAACATGGTAAGACCCCCATCTCTACAAAAAAAAATTTTTTAATTAGCCAAGTGTGGCCAAGTGCAGTGGCTCACGCCTAAAATCCCAGCACTTTGGGAGGCCAAGGCAGGCGGATCACGAGGTCAGGAGGTCACGAGTTCGAGACCAGCGTGTCCAATATGGTAAAACCCCGTCTCTACTAAAAAATACAAAAAAATTGGCCAGGCATGGTGGCATGCACCTGTAGTTCCAGCTACTCAGGAGGCTGAGGCAGGAGAATCACTTGAACCTGGGGGGCGGAGGATCCAGTGACCTGAGATCGCACCACTGCACTCCAGCCTGGGTGACAGAGCGAGATTCTGTCAAAAAAAAAAAAAAAAAAAAAAAAGAGCACAAACTCAGTAGCCCTGGGTTCCAGCCTAGTCTCTGAAACAGACTGGCAGTCATGTCTCTATGCTGGATCTCAAGGTTTCGTTTGGATGAAAATACAGCTGGCTGGCTGCAATGGCTCATGCCTGTAATCCCAGCATTTTGGGAGGTCAAAATCAGAGGATCGCTTGAGCCCAGGAGCACGAGACCAGTCTGAGCAACATAGTAAGACCCCCATCTCTACAAAAGATACAAAAATGGGCTAGGCATGGTGGCTCATGACTGTAATCCCAGCACTTTGAGATGCCGAGGTGGGCAGATAACCTGAGGTCAAGAGTTAGAGACTAGCCTGGCCAACATGGTGAAACCCGTCTCTACTAAAAATACAAAAATTAGTCGGGCGTGGTGGCGGGTGCCTGTAATCCCAGCTACTCGCGAGGATGAGGCAGGAGAATCGCTTGAACCCAGGAGGTGGAGGTTGCACTGAGCTGAGATCACACAACTTCACTCCAGCCTGGGTGACAGAGTGAGACTCCGTCTCAAAAAAAGGGAAAAAAAAAGTTAACCAGGCGTGGTGGTATGCACTTGTAGTCCCAGCTATTTCGGAAGCTAAGGTGGAAGAACGCAGTGAGCTATGATCCTAGCACTGCACTCCAGCCTGAGCAACACAGCGAGACCCTACACTTCAAAACAAAACAAAACAAACAAACAAAAAAAACAATCTCCTGGATCCATCAGTAAACCCCAAAACTGCACATGAAAGTGTGCAATCAATATTAGTGCAAATTACAAAATATACTGGCTGGTCCGTTTTCCCGGATTAAACTATAAAAAAAAGGAAATCCAACTAGTCAATCATTAGTCCAATAAGAATTCCTTGAATTGCTGTATTTTAGAGTCACTGTGTTTTATTTCCTCAACATTTCCACAATTATTTTTTTAAGACAGGGTCTCGTTCTGTCACCCAGACTGGACTGCAGTGGCATGATCTTAGCTCACTGTAACCTCCACCTCCGGGGCTCAAGAGATCCTCCCACCTTAGCCTCCCAAGTAGCTGGCACCACAGGCACAAGCCACCATGCCCAGCTAAGTTTTATATTTTTTTTTTTGGTAGAGGCAGGGTTTTACCATGTTGTCCAGGCTCCTCTGGAACTCCTGCACTCAAGTGATCTGCCTGCCTTGGCCTCCCAAAGCACTGGGCACCTATAATCCCAGCTACTCAGGAGGCTGAGGCAGAAGAATTGCCTCAGCCCTGGAGGCAGAGGTTGCAGTGAGCTGAGATCGCACCACTGTACTCCAGCCTGTGTGACAGAGCAAGACTCCGTCTTTGAAAAAATAAATAAATAATAATAATAATAATAGGATCCTTTCACTTCAGAATATTCAAATGGAAAAGGTTCATATTAGGAATAGCTCCTCCAATAAAAGAAATTGCTGTTTCTAGGCACTGATAGCAAGAGACCAAAACTCAACTGCAATTCTCTACCAAAGAAAATTTTTAAAAAATAAAGCACTAACACAATGAGCACTTATCCATTCCATTTCCAAAATCAACTTACCTTCTGCACCTTCCTTTTGCAGATTTGAAATCCAGATTCTCACACAATCACTGGCCATCTCTTCTGTTTCATTCAACAGCATACACACCACTGAGTGTCTCTCACTATTAAATAAATACATTAACAGTCCGGGCGAGGTGGTTCATGCCTGTAATCCCAGCACTTTGGGAGGCCAAGGTGGGTGGATCACCTGAGGTCAGGAGTTTGAGACCAGCCTGACCAACATGGTTAACCCCATCTGTACTAAAAATACAAAATTAGCCCCCAGTTACTTGGGAGGCTGAGGCAGGAGAATCGCTTGAATCAAGGAGGTGGAGGTTACAGTGAGCTGAGATCACACCACTGCACTCCAGCCTGGGCAACAACAGCAAAACTCCGTCTCAAAAAAAAAATAAGTAAATAAATAAAATACATCAATAGAAAGTACACTCACCTTATTCTGCTTTCTAATTATGAAAACAGAAGTGCAGGCCGGGCGCAGTGGCTCATGCCTGTAATTTCAGCACTTTGGGAGGTCGAGGCAGGAGGATCGCTTGAGCCCAGGAGTCTGAGACCAGCCTGGGCAGCACAGCAAGACCCCGTCTCTATTAAATAAATAAACAAACAAACATAAACAGAAGTGCAAATGCCCTAATCCAAAATTATTTTTAAAAAAGATACTTGAGGCCTGGCACGATGGCACATGCCTGTAATCCCAGCCCTTTGGGAGGCTGAGACGGGTGGATAACCTGAGGTCAGGATTTCAAGACCAGTCTGGCCAACATGGTGAAAACCTGTCTCTCCTTAAAAAGTACAAAAATTAAACCAGCGTGGTGGCGCGCACCTGGAGTCCCAGCTACTTGGGAGGCTGAGGCTGGAGTCTCAGCTACTTGGGAGGCTGAGGCTGGAGAATCGCTTGAACCCAGGAGGCAGAGGTTGCAGTGCGACGATATGGCACCACTGCACTCCAGCCTGGGGGACAGAGTGAGACTCCATCTCAAAAAAAAAAAAAAAAAGGTATTTGAGATTAAATAATACAGAGTAACTGCTCTCATCTTCCCCCTGCAAACACCATACTTTAATATGAAATTTTAAATGGCTTTTTTCCCCAAATGGGAAAGAAGGATTCCTGTGTCTTGATGGGAAAGCAAGCAGTTTAAGAGTAAAACATACTAATAAGCCAAGGCAAACAGGTGAGATACCATCAGAGTGTGCGCTATTGTAGGAAACAGAATGGAAAGGCGTGAATGGGAGTCTCTGCACTTCATATCTGCAAAAGAAGAGAATAAAAAGGTTAACTCCAGATTTAGAACAGGTTTATTCCCCTGTTTAAAGCAGAGCCCAAAAACATTTTAAATCAAAAAATGAAAATGTGCTAGTTAAGCCAAATTTGTAGATGAACTCAACCTTCTTGTCCTTAGTATATAAACGGTATCCCAGGTGTTAGAAGTTATTTGAACATTTTTATGCTACACCACCTTGACATTAAAGGATTTTTTTAAAATCTCCAATCTCTTCTTTAAACTTTTCTTAAAACTATCATTAAAATTAGCAAAATATGCTTCTCTATTGAATGGTTAACCTAACGGGAATGACTTCTAACCGTAAGAATCACAGTTAAAAGGTTCATTTTAACAAATGCTCTTCCCCCTGTAAGGAGTGACAGGTAACCTTTTGGGATCCCCAATGTACACACCCCTTTCTCCAGCCCTGCTAAAGTTAAACGTTGATTTGAGGACAGACAAGTGCCTCCTCGCAAGCAATGCCTCCCTCCCCCTGTCCAACACGCCGTTCTCTGCAAAAATCCATCTGCATCTTGCATTAACCCACCCGCCCAGTGCCAGTGAGTCCAGGCCAAGTCGCAGAAGGCCAGGAGTGAGGGGTGAGACCTGTGAGCCCATCTGCACCCGCGCCCTCCCACCTGGTGGCACACCTGCCCCGCAGGCGCCCACCTGGGGCCGGGACCGCCCTCTCCCAGTCTCGCGCGCCTGCCCCACTCGGAGCGCGCGCCACGCGCCGCGCAGGACCAGAGGGCGGGGCCCCGGGCAGCAGGGAAGCGAGGGCTCGGGGAGAGGGGGCCGCCCGGGCTCACTCCCTCCCTGGGGACCCAGCGGACCGGAGCGTGCTGGGGGCGGGAGCGGTACCTTTTGGACAGATCCATGAGGACCCCGGAGAAGAGCTTCTCCCCGAGGCGGAACGACACGACGAGCGCGTCCTCAATGATGTGGTCCAGCGTGACCCGCACCTCCGAGCCCGGGATCAGTTGCGACACCGTGGAAACCCCGCCCGCCGGCGGCACGAGCGCCGGGGCTACGGGCTGAGGCAGCGGCGGCTCCTCGCGCTCCTCGGGTGCCGGGGGCTGCTCCGGTGGCGATGCTGGAGAAGGTGGAAGTTCGGGCCCTCCCTGAGGCGCGGCTGCAGCCGACTCCGCCACCCGAACGGACAGTTTCTCCTCAGCCTCCAGCTCCGGCCCCGCCGCCTCTGGGCTGCGGGCGAGCTCCCCCGGCGGCGGCGGTGGCGGCGGGAGCGGCGGTTCGTCGGCCTGAGGAGCGGACTGCTGCCCGTCGGTCTCGCCATCCGGCACAGACGCTTCAGTGGCCGTGACCGGGAGGGGGTCAGTGCCGGCCTCACTGCCGGGGATGGGCTCCATCTCCGGCTCGGCCTCGCCGGCGCCCCCCTCCCCGGGGGACGCTGCAGTCGCTGCCGCCTCTGCAGCCACGGCCGCCATTTTCTTCCTGGCTTCTCCCTCCTCCAACTCCGGCTGCAGCGGCGGCGGCGGCGGCAGCGCTGCTTGGTTCCCTGGGCCTTCCCCTCCCTCCCGCGAACACTTTCGTCCCGCCCTTTCCCTGATGCTCGTTTTTGGCACCTCGCCATTGGTTCCATTCTACACCCCTCCCGCACTTGTGATATTCCATTGGCCAGGGGTGGACGTCTATCATCTAGTCAGTCCATCCTTCCCACGCAGAGTAGGAACTTCTCATTGGCCAGATGTGTTGTCAAGTGTGGAATCTGAGTGGAGGAATAGGGGGCGTAATCCAAGGGGGCGGGGGAAGTCACAAAAGAGGAGCCATATACTCATCGCCTCTTGCTATTGGCTGGAAGAGGAAATAAAGTTTTATGGTTGGCTTACGCTCCTGCCCGTTATCAGTCAGGTCTTCGGAGGTGGGAGAAAGGAGGGAATCATGTGGCGTGCTACTTCTTTCAAAGGCGCCGAGGGGAGGAGTAACTAGAGAATGCGGGAGGGGAACCGCTTCCCAAGAATCTCTGCGCAGAGATCCTTAGAATAAATGTTATTTCTAGGCGCGGACTTCTTGCGACCGCGTGTGGGCACGACAGGCTTCTCTGGGAAAGACAACTAAAGTTTGAAATATAATCCTACCGACACTTTTTGAGTGCCTACTATGCTAGTCATTGCACAAGGTGCTGGGGAATAGAATATTCAAGACGTTCTCCATAACCTCATGGCAGCTGGCTCACGGCAGCCACTCCAGCTGCCATAAGGAGTACGAGGAGTGTTTTCCTTGACTTCTAGGAGTACGATGAGTATTTTCCTTGACTTCTCTCCACTTCCTAGGAACAAAGCACCTACTTACTAACATTTCAAAAATAGGAAAATGCTCATGAAAGAGGAGAGACACCATCCTCACTGGATTAAACTGATGACTGTTCCAGAAAAGAGTCTTGAGACATTGCTGGACTGATATGTGAACACTGCTTGTTCTCTCCAAATACACTGCAAAGTGGACGCACCTGATCCCTGCAAAAGCCTTTATGTTTCCTGGCTTCTCCAATGCCAAGAGAAGACGCTCTCTCACTTCAGTGTCCTAACGCCCCTACTTCTTTTACTCCCACGTCAAGTCTCTTCGTTTGTTATCTCTGGAAGAATCTACTGAACCTATTCCTCTCAAATGGCACCTCAGAGTCAGCCTTTTTTCTGGGAGAATGCCTACAGGAGAGAGGGAAGAAAAGCTGCTAGCATTGAGAGTAAAAAAAATAAAGTCCTGAAGAATAATTACAGCTAGTGTCTTTTAAGTACCATGTACCAGGCACTAATACAAACACTATAGCATATCATCTCAATCCTTAAAATTTCGAGGCACAAAGAGGGTGCCCAAGGTTACTCGGCTGGTAAAATGCATAGTCAGAATTTCGGTTTTACACGGAATAGACTGAAAATAGCAATAAACAAATATCACCATATGCTCTGCCTATTTCAAACTAAGTGGCTCTTGGGGAAAGGCCAGTAGAAGATCCCAATCAGGGAAGTTTCAGAATATCATTTAAAAATACACACAAAAAAAATATATTTAGTGTTCATTTTGTACCAGAGATTTTCCCAAAAGCTCTCACTTAAAATCCTGTGACTTAAATCTTCTCCTGCTTTTACAGATGAGGAAGCCAAGCCTCAGCCATGTTAAACATCCTAAGCAGGCCAAGAGCAGTGGCTCAAGCCTGTAATCCCAGCACTTTGGGAGGCCGAGGCAGGTGGATCACCTGAGGTCGGGAGTTTGAGACCAACCTGACCAACACGGTGAAACCGCATCTCTACTAAAAATACAAAATTAGCTGAGCGTGGTGGCGCATGCCTGTAATTCTGGCTACTTGGGAGGCTGAGGCAAGAGAATTGCTTGAACTCGGGAGGCAGAGGTTGCAGTGAGCCAAGATCTGGCCATTACACTCCACTGTGGGCAACAAGAGTGAAACTCCATCTCAAAAAAATAAAAATAAAAAGATAATAAGATCTTAAGGGTCACACAGCTAGCTAACAGCAGATCCTATCTAACCTGGGTCCTTCTAAGTACATGATTTTCACTCAATCATTCATTCAACAAAGAGTTATTTCCTTCAGACTAGATACTTGCAGTAAACAGACATAGATTCTGCCTTATAGAGTTTTCACCATAATACTTTGTCTATAGCTCACCATAATCAACTAATTAAACACAACATATAGTCTATGAAATGCCTAGCCCCTAAGGTCTCACACTGTGTAATCTCCCACAGGGAGAAAAATATAGTTCGGGTCCTGGGACCTGATTACCTCTTGTAGTAATTCATTACAAGATGCTGCAATAAGTAATTTACATTTCAGATTCATAGCAGATTGTGGCATACCAAGCCACTGTCCTAAGCCACCATTTCATTCTGTAACTCAAGAGCATCTACTGGCTCCCAATGCTCACATGGAGTGTACCTTCTTCTGCTTGGCTTTCAAAGCCCTCTCTGTGTTCTCACCTTACCTTTCAAGGTCTCTTTTCCACTACTCTTCAAGCTTCCTAATACTAGAAAGATTTGGTCATATATTGTTCATTCACTTATTAATTCATTCAACAAATAAATATTAAAGGACTACTATGTTTCAGTGACTGGACTAGTCAGGCAGAAGGTATGAAATAAAGAATACAAAAGATATCACTTGAGTTCAGGAGTTCAAGACCAGCCTGGGCAACACAGGGGTTTCACTGTGTTGCGCAGGTTGGTGAATATATATATGAAAGATTTAGTAACTGCCCTCCTGAGGATTATTTTTCTAGTTGGGGAACTGGAAAATGAGCCAACGGTGAATAAACAAGATGATCACAGACGTGAGAAATACCATGAGAGAAATAAACAGGGTGAGGGAATAGAAGTAGCTGGCAGAGGGGCTGAAAGGTGTCTCCTTTAGATAAGGTTGTCACAAAAGCCCTCTCTGAGGACTGGACATCTTAACTAAGATGCAAAGGAGAAGGCAGCCAGCTATTGACATTGCTGGATGAACATTTGGATCAAAAGGAACGGCAATTGCTTGAAGTTCTGAGGCAAAAGAGGGTTTGGCTTGTTCCAGAAACAGAAGGAAGACCAATCTGGTTGAGGAATGAGCAAGAAGTTGAGTAGATGAGGTTGAAAAGGAAAACAGGACCCAAATAATGTTTTGTACTGGAGATACCAAAGCAAGGGATTCTGCCCTCAGGGAGCTCCAAATCTAGTGGAAAGCCTGGGCCAGCCATAGTGGCTCATGCCTGTAATCCCAACATTTTGGGAGGCCAAGGCAGGAGGATTGCTTGAGCCTAGGAGTTTGAGGCTGTAGTAAGCTATGACCATGCCACTGCACTCTAGCCTTGCAACAGAGCGAGACACTAGCTCAAAGGAAAAAAAAGAAACCTGGCTTTTACATTTGCTTTTGTAATCTATTCACCTCTGCATTCAGCCTCCTCCTGACATGGAATTGGTATGGAGGATGCCCTTGATATCTGTTTAATGGATGGCCACATGATATTTGTGGCTGACTAGGTGATTGGATGGATGGTTGATGGACTGGATAGATAGTTGGAGAACTGGACAGATGGTTGAATAGATGGATGGATGGTTGGATGAATAGATGAATGGCAGGGATAAGGAAACCAGCTGATTGCTGAAACAGATCCTCACTCTCATGAGCATACTTTCATCTCAAGTTCTGCAAGATACTATACTCTGGTGGCTAAAATTCAGTTGAAGTAAATAAACCTGTAACTGGTCAGGCTCGGTGACTCACGTCTGTAATCCCAGCACTTTGGAAGGCCCAGGCAGGCAGATCACTTGAGCTCAGGAATTTGACAAAATGCTGAGCAACATGGCAAAACCCTGTCTCTACAAAAAATACAAAAATTAGCCAGGCATGATGGTGTGTGCCTGTAGTCCCAGCTACTCAGGAGGCTGAGGTGGGACAATTACCTGAGCCCAGGAGATTGAGGTTGCGATGAGCCATGATTTCACCACTACACTTCAGCCTGGGCAACAGAGTGAGATGCTTTCTCAAAAATAAAAAATAAAGCCAGGCGCGGTAGCTCATGCCCTTAATCCCAGCACTTTGGGAGGCAGAGGCTGTTGGATCACCTGAAGTAAGGAGTTCAAGACCAGCCAGGCCAACATGGTGAAACCCCATCTCTACTAAAAATACAAAAAATTAGCTGGACGTGGTGGTGCTTGCCTGTAATACCAACTACTCGGGAGGCTGAGGCAAGAGAATCGCTCGAACCCGGGAGGCAGAGGTAGCAGTGAGCCAAGATCACGCCATTGCACTCCAGCCTGGACAACAAGAGCCAAACTCCGTCTCAAA